ACAAGCGTATAAATGCAATAATGCAGGTAGACTAGAAATACTAGATTGAAAATTAAAGTAGTTTAGCTTGTCCCATTGTGACTGACAGTGTTGTTCGACACCCAACGCTGTACCCGACCATATTCCAGGCTTTCTATGTAGCTGAATCTAGTATTCGCTTTGAAAACCCATTGTATGAGTGGTGGGCGGATGGGTTTGGAAACGTGTGCTCTCTACCCATTGTATGTTACTCACATCAGAAGCTGTATGGCCACTCCATATGCTGTGAAACTGTAAATGGTTCCCTATACACCTGTAACTCTTACCAGGATTGTGAGAAATAAACTATATACAGAGATATAATATATACCCACATAGCTATATTGTATAATTCCTCCCTTGAGCATCTTTGTGGATGTGGGCTGTGAGTGAAAATGGCTGTAATCCCTCTCCCTCTTTACTCCTGCCCATGCTTCTGACAGGTTTAGTGTTTGCTAGGAGCAGGGATCCCAGTAAGAACTGTAAGCAAAGGCAGTTCCTACCCCAGCTAAATGCCAGCCTGCCTGAGGAAAGCAGGCAAAGGAAGATGATTGTTATTCCCACGTGGAAGCTAAAGCATGGAATTACACTTGCCCGGAGCCACAAAGGAAACATTACTGATCCCAGCGATCCCCTGGTCTCCAGGCTTGGCTGTACAGTTTGCTGGGACCTCTCTCCTCCCAGATCCCTGTAATTTGATGGGTTTTGTCTTTCAGTTGGCCTGGGAGCATCCATCCTCGGGAGTAAACAATCCCCTGGATACCTGGCTGATATCCAGGGAGGTTCCTGCACACCACTGAGCCAGGGATTCCCTTGACCTGTCAGGTGCAAGGAGAGACCTTGTAACAGTCTTCCAGTGCCTAAAGGGGGTACAGGGAACCTGGAGAGGGACTTTGGCCAAGGGCCTGTAGGGACAGGCCAAGGGGAATGGCTTGAACCTGCCCAAGGGGAGACTGAGCTGAGCTCTTAGGCAGAAGCTCTTCCCTGGGAGGGTGCTGAGGCGCTGGCACAGGGTGCCCAGAGAAGCTGTGGCTGCCCCATCCCTGGCAGTGCTCAAGGCCAGGTTGGACACAGGGGCTTGGAGCAAGCTGCTCCAGTGGAAGGGGTCCCTGCCTGTGGCAGGGGTTGGAGCTGGAGGAGCTTTAAGGTCCCTTCCAACATGAACCAGTGTGGGGTTCTAATTACCTTCCTGTGAAGGGGAAGGCAGCAGGGATGCTGCTGCAACTTGGAAGCTCTCCCTGGAGTTTGGACTCAGTGGAGGCACCTGCACAAGGTGTTCTCCTTGGCCTGAGAGGAAACAGCGCTGCTGGCTGATAGAGAGGAGGGGAAGGGGCTGGAGAATCTTCCTCTTGGGTCTCCTACAAACAAAACCCGTGTCTCTTCTCACTGCCAAGGAGGGCAGGGGCAGGCACACATCAGTGCCGCTGTGGTGCCAGCACAGGGAGCGCTAACACCAGCTCGGTCCTTTCAAGCACTGCTTTGGCTATGTTCCACCCATCCAGTCTGTGTTTCATCCACTTCCTCCCCTCCATGCATTTATAGGTATTTATGAAGCATGAAAATCAGAGGCTACGGTTAGACTTAGCTCAAACTACGCTTTGCTTTCCCTGCTCCCTTCCACACTCCAGCCGTTATTTAGCCACAGAAAATGAGGCAGTGCCAAATGGCTGTGTTATATGGGCTAGAAATGAGAAATGTGGCAGTTCCGTGCTCTCGGACCAGCCCAGAGCAGGAAGCAGTCCTCTCGTTTGAATTAACCACAACGTCCAGGCTCTATCACAACGAATGCTCTGTGTGAAGAAGCAAATAACTCCTTATTGTCCTTGTGATCCCATCGCTGGGCTGTAACTACTCCTATTTGTTAACCACACAAATGAAGCAGAGAGGGGCTGCAAAGCATTTCCAGTGCTTGCTGGAACAGACTTCAGCAGGAGAGCATTTGGAAAGCAGGGAAAGATCAAGTATTAGGACATCACTGAACAATTTAATCTCCCAGCAAGTGAGGCGTGCTCAAAAAAGATTGTTCTTCAATCTTTTCCCCTTAAATCATTGTCCCATCCTCTAATGCTTCGGATTTGGGGCAGTTAAGGGAGGATGGGAAGAGCTGATGGAGAGGATTGGAGGCAGGGGTTTTAGCACTGGATTCATGAGCAAGGATTAAGGAGCATAAATGTGATGCTCTGTGCCAGGAAGGCTTAGGCTGCTGGGGCGGCACCAAGTCCCTCTCTTGGTAGCTAAACTCAATAGTGAAAGATACACTCTGGGTTTATTTGGGGTTATAAATGATTGCCTGGGAGTAAAGATGGACAAAGCGGGAGGAACTTCCAAGTACTTCCACAGCCTATGGATCCAGAACACACTTTAGGAGAGAACAGGAGACTGATGGACAGAGGATTGAAGACAGGGACCAGCAGCCAGCCCGATGGCACGAGCTACATTTCCTTTAGGAAAGGTGGCAATTAGGTCCTTTCAAATACAAAAACAAGAATAAAGGCAGAGCTGGGCTGTCTTCACGGTGTACTTATCATTTTATAATGGCACTTTCACTCTGTAACGCACAGGGAAGCCCTGAGCTAAACCGACGGCATTAATGGGGATGAAAAGCCCGAATCCTGAAACTGAACAAGGTTTGGAGAAAGTACAGAGCCAAAAGCAGTGAAACCTGCAAGGAACAAACGTGTTTCTTAAGGAATAACACCTTATTGAAGAAGGCTGTGGGGAGACCTCAGAGCAGCTTCCAGTATCGGAAGGGGCCTATAGGAATGCGGGGGAGGGACTCTTCATTAGGGACTGCAGTGACAGGACAAGGGGTAACGGGTTCAAACTGAAACAGGGGAAGTTTAGGTTGGATCTAAGGAGGAAATTCTTTCCTGTGAGGGTGCTGAGGCACTGGAATGGGTTGCCCAGGGAGGTTGTGAATGCTCCATCCCTGGCAGTGTTCAAGGCCAGGTTGGACAGAGCCTTGTGTGCCATGGTTTAGTGTGAGGTGTCCCTGCCCATGGCAGGGGGTTGGAACTGGATGATGTTAAGGTCCTTTCCAACCCTGACTATTCTATGGTTCTATGATTCTATGATTCTAAGATACAGAGCATACAGGAAGGGCGCAATCCGGACCAGACAGGACGGATGGGAAGCACAACTTCAGAAGGGGTTGGGGTCACTTCATTTAGCTTGCAGCTCTTATGCTCATCTCAATGGCTCCAGGAAATGACCAAGTCCTTCACCCATGGGTTTCACCCATCATCTTTTCCAGCAACCACTCTGAAGGATCCACATGTGTCTCATATAACGTAAGTAGTTGTGGGATTAGATCAGGGCTGTGAAGAATCATAGAATCAAGGAATGGTTTGGGTTGGAAAGGGCCATAAGATCATCCAGTTCCAACCCCCCTGCCATGGGCAGGGACACCTCACACTAAACCATGGCACCCAAGGCTCTGTCCAACCTGGCCTTGAACACCGCCAGGGATGGAGCATTCACAACCTCCCTGGGCAACCCATTCCAGTGCCTCAGCACCCTCACAGGAAAGAATTTCCTCCTTAGATCCAACCTAAACTTCCCCTGTTTCAGTTTGAACCTGTTACCCCTTGTCCTGTCACTGCAGTCCCTGACTTCTGTCTCTCACAATGTCCCGAGGTTCTTCACCCCAAGGGTAAGAAGTATCAAGAGCAAAACCAGAGAGAGAACTTAGACTAGCTTCAAACCAGGTTAAGCCAACAACAGATGAAGCCAGAACCGTAAAAACAGCTTGGGTTCATCACAGAGCCAGACTGGTTTGGGTTGGAAGGGACCTTAAGGAACATCCAGTTCATCACAGCTTCTCTGGGCACCCTGTGCCAGCGCCTCAGCACCCTCCCAGGGAAGAGCTTCTGCCTAAGAGCTCAGCTCAGTCTCCCCTCGGGCAGGTTCAAGCCATTCCCCTTGGCCTGTCCCTACAGGCCCTTGTCCCAAGCCCCTCTCCAGGTTCCCTGCAGCCCCTTCAGGCACTGGAGCTGCTCTCAGGTCTCCCCTTCAGGAGCCTTCTCTTGTCCAGGCTGCCCCAGCCCAGCTCTCTCAGCCTGGCTCCAGAGCAGAGCTGCTCCGTGGCCTCCCCTGGCCTCGCTCCACCCGCTCCATGTCCCTCTGGTGCTGTTCCCCAGAGCTGGATGCAGCGGGGGTGTCTCAAGGGGGTCTTGCTCCTCCTTATCCCGTGTGTCAGGAACACAGCACCATGGGAACAAACGGTGGTGGTTTGGGCTTTGGCTGAAGATGTTATGGTGATCGGGTCAGCTGAGGAGGGACTTTGTGTGCGTTAAAGGATGAGGTCTGGACCCAGCACCGCAGCTGGATGCGGCCATTGAAACCCAGCAGACATTCCATAGGATCGTCATGGAAGCATGGACTGGTTTGGGTTGAAGGGAGCTTAAAGCTCATCTAGCTCCGGGCAGGGACCCCTTCCACTGGAGCAGCTTGCTCCAAGCCCCTGTGTCCAACCTGGCCTTGAGCACTGCCGGGGATGGGGCAACCGGACATGAACGCCTCACCGCGATGTCACCCGCTCCCCGCCTCTGATGCGGCCGGTCTCTACAACAAGCCCTCACTGTTTCCGCCCTATTTAATGAGGTAAACCCTATCCATACAGATATATCCCCCCGAGGCTCGCACGGCTCCAGCTGCTCCCATGATCCGCTCCGATGGGCCCCAGGGATTTAAAGGCTCCGCGGCCCCTCCGCTCCCTTCCCTCAGGCTCCGCCGCCTGCGCATGCGCGGACCCTCCGCTCCCTTCCCTCAGGCTCCGCCGCCCTGCGCATGCGCGGTCCCTCCGCTCCCTTCCCTCAGGCTCCGCCGCCCTGCGCATGCGCGGCCTCGCTGCTCCGGCTCCGCTGTCCTGCGCATGCGCGGTCCCTCCGCTCCCATCCCTCCGGCTTCACCGCACTGCGCATGCGCGGCCCTTCCGCTGTCTTCCCTCCGGCTCCACCACCCTGCGCATGCGCGGACCCATGAGGGGACGGCTGCCGCCATGTCGGACCGGCTGGGCAAGCCGAGCTGCCTCATCGTCGCCAGCGCCGCGGCCGCCGGTGAGACCCTCTCGGGGCTGGGGGGGGGGGAACCCCCGCTTCGCCAGGTCCCGTTCCTCGCCTTGGCGCGGCCGCGGTGCGCGCTCCTCCGGCCCGCCGGTCCCCTGTGTCCATCCCCGCTTCCCCGCCTCAGGCGTGCGGGGCCTTTGGCTCGCGGTGTGTGGGTGCCGTGCTGAGGGCAGTTCATTGGGAAGGGGCTGGGAATGGCGGTGGAGGATAAGGAGACTGTGAGCCGGTGATGTGCCGTTGATGCCGGGAGGGACAGGAGTATCCCGGGGGCATGGGGAGCAGTCGAGGGGGTGATGCTCCCCCCTCTCCTCGACCGTGCTGAGGCCGCATCTGGAGCTCTGTGTGCAGTGCTGAGCTCCGCAGCACAAGAAAGACAAGGAGAGGGTCCAGGGGAGGCCACAGGGATGCCGAGGGGTCTGGAGCATCCCCCTGATGAGGAGAGGCTGTGGGAGCTGGGCCTGGTTAGCCTGGAGGGGAGATCTCGATTCAGATCAGTGCTGGGGTGCCTGTACTCCTTGTGCAGCTGTGTTGTGCCCAGATGTTTGCCCTCTACATGTGCTCACCTGCAGTGCCCATCTGCACGTGTGCCGCCCTGCACAGCTGTGCCGCTCAGGACCTCCTGCACTTCCCCTCTGTGCCTGCTGCTGACACAGGGGCTGCTGTGCTGCGCTTCCATGTGTGTGGACCGGGGTGAAGCACCCAGACACCCAGAATACCTTCCTCATGTGTTTCTCAACACACAGCTTGCCTGTAATGAAGGCTCTTCATTTCTGATACCTTAAAAGGACCCCCTGAAATGACTGAGAGCTCCGGAGATGAGCAGGAAACCCAAGCTGCTGTACTTTGCTAGATGAAATTACCTTTCTGTGGCTGGGATTGAAGTGTGACTGTTGTGTTCTGAAGGTGTTGGACTCTGTTTTTCAGGTGTGTCAGCCCAGTCCTTCCTTCACTGCTTTACCCTGACGAGTTCTGCTTTTAATCTGCAAGTTGCCACTCCTGGGGTAAGTGAAAATGGGCAGTTCCTGTGATTTCAGCCTGAAACCAATTGGTACTCTGATTGACAAGAGAGTTATGCTAAGTCCTTTTGAGGAGTGTTTTAGTGGCTTTATGGGTTACTGGGCTCTTTTTAGTTCTGCTTTCTTAATATTGAAGTGTATGAGTGCTTCCTGTATGGTTCTGTCATAGCTTGAATCCCAGACTGGTTTGGGTTGGAGGGACCTTAAAGCTCATCCGGTTCCAACCCCCTGAACTGTGTTTTCCCTAGGGAAAGCCAATCGATTTTGTGGATGTGAATGAGAGCAACATGCGCTGGGTCCAGGACTTCCGCATGAAATCCTACGCCAGCCCTGCCAAGCTGGAGTCCATTGATGGTAAGAGCTTCACTGCTCACCCGTGTGTCATCTCCATCCATCAGGGCAACAAGTGCTTCCTAGTGTTGGGAAGAGCACCACGGAAAAGGCATAAAACTTGTATTATTAGAGGAAGCATAGCACATACAGTTGTTATTTTTTTATGTAAGAGGAAGTCCTAGCAACTGCAGTTGTTTTCTTATATCTTGGATTGATATATATTCATATATATTTTTATATATAAAACATATATTGTGTATATATAATATATTTTTCATGTAGGCACAACATATATGTTCTTACATGTGCATATATATATACAGGATATATAGTTATTTAAATACTTGTTTAAAATAAGTATTTTGCTAAAATAGAACCTAGCAGACATAGTGGTTTTAGGTTTTGCTCAGGTAAGAGTATGTCATTAAAAATCACAGAATCCCAGACTACTTTGGGCTGGAAGGGATATAATCTTAAAGCCCCTCCACTTCTAACCCCTGCCACGGGCAGGGACACCTTCCACTAGAGCAGCTTGCTCCAAGGCCTGTCCATTCTGTGGTCCTTTGTCCTAAAAAGGACCTTTTTCTCCACATAGATCATTAAGCTCAACACAGGTTTTGACTGGTTTATGTGGTATCGTCTGAATTTTGTTAAATCTGAAATAGGTTTGTGGTCAGGCTCTTTTGGTTGTTACTTTTATCCCAATGAGTTTATCCTTTCCTCCTCACCAGGTGCTAGGTACCATGCATTGCTGATTCCAAACTGTCCTGGGGCTATGACTGACCTTGCAAACAGTGGGTACTTGGCCAAGATACTGCAGCACTTCAGCACTGAGAACAGTAGGTGAACATCATTAGGTGTTTTGTTAAATAAATAGTAATAAATGTAAGACTGTGAACTTCCAATGATTTAAGAATGTATATATAGCTGAAGAGTATTCAGAACTGGAAAGATACTTTAGAGATATGTATCTTCTCCTTTGAAGTAGCCTCTTAATGTAAAATGCGTACAAAAAATACCAGTAGCTTTTGTATGCCCGTGTCCGAAGAGCGTTTCTGCCTCACAGTGATACAGAAATGGCTCTCCACATCCAGATTCAGAGCCAATGTGGAAGATGCCAAGATCATCATTGAGTCTGTAGTTAATCAAGACTTGTGTTTGCCTCTCATTTACCATTTGAGCACTTGTTCTCTTTGACTGGTGCTGTGTCTAGGCTTGGAGTTAACAGCTAGTAAATCTTTGCAAGACTGGGGCTCTTCTGTGGTGTGTAGGAGAAACCTTACAGCTTGAGAGAGTATGAGCTGTGTGGTATAATCTTACTGCAGGAAGGAAACATGCTGTAGCATGAAGAATCTCCTTTAACCCTCATGTGTGTTTTGTCTGTTTGAAGATGCTGCTCAAACATGCTTTGATATTTCTGTCACAGAGCCCATCTGTGCAGTTGGACATGGAGTCGCAGCCTTGTGTTGTGCCACCAATGAGGATAAATCCTGGGTATTTCAAGGATACAGCCTGACAGGGGTAGGTTGAGCTTTCACCTGGCTTTTGCTGTGTGTGAGCCTGTGATTTCAGGCGATGGAGCTATTTCTCATAATATAAATCATCAGTATGGTACCCTTGATTTATGTGGAAGAGATAAAGTGCTGTCATTGGAAGGGGGCCCAGCACTGAGTGCATGGAGGGGTTGTCTCTCCTGTCATGTGGAGCGTGTTTTCCTTCTGATTGTTCAGTAAACAGTCTTGGATGCTTGAAACTGAAGCAATAAAAAGCTGTAAGTGGCTGCTGCAGCTCTCTGCATTCATTGTCAAGGGCTTTTAAGAATTGCTTTTAGGTTTCATGAGTGCTGGGGCCAAGTTTTTTGTTTCTCAAGGTGCTCTTTCATTTTAAAAGGCAGAGGAGGTTGTAGGGGAGAAAGCTGTTAGTACAGGCTGGCTTGTGATTAAAGTAGATGCTGTTGATTTATTTAATGTATTCACAGGCCATTGATATGGCAGTTGTACCTGTGTTCCAGAGCAATGCAAACCTCTCTGGTACAACTTCTGAGGTACTATGGCTATGGAAACCGTAAGAAAAGCAGTGGCCACATGTGCAGATAGAAACTGAACTTGGGTTTCCAATTTTTCTCTCTTAATTTAAGCTGTATCCCATATTAATTCCAGAGCACTGTTGTTTGCAAGTGGCACAGCATTTGTGTCCAAATGTTTGTGGCCAACACCCAAAGGGATCTGCACTTTCATCGAGTTAATTCCATGCACGCTGCTCAGTGTCTGGGTGATGAGCAGGAGTTCCTTGGTGTCATTCTTGCTCTTCGTTTCCTTCACTTAAGAGTTTTTGGTTTGTCCCCTATAGAAAATCCATAGAAGCTGATTGTGGTCATTTGGGTTTATGCTTCATTGCTCTCCGATTTCCTCTATGCAGCTGGGAGAATTGTAGGGGTATGTTTGTGTTGGTTTTGCTTGGCTTTTCCTGTAAAAACCAAGCCAGACTTCCTGCCTTTTGTTCTTTTCCAGCCCTCTGTGTATGAACTAGTCCGACAGCCTAATTTTGCCAGTTTGTCCATTATTGTGGAAGACTTTGTGAAAGACTCTGGAGCTACATTCAGTGGTATGGCACCCTCCTGTTGTCCAGGATTACATGTTTCATGGCTGCGTTTGGGGAGTTAATGTTTGCGTGCTGGTTTTACACAAGACTCTGACAGGATATCTCATCTTGCATTCCCATTTCATGATAGAAACAAATACCCTCGTGGACTAGAAATGGTGAGTTGGACCTGCTTGAGAAAGCCCTGAGGAGGGCCACAAAGATGCTGTGAGGGCTGGAGTAGTTTTGCTCTGGAGCCAGGCTGAGAGAGCTGGGCTGGTTCAGCCTGGAGAAGAGAAGGCTCCTGAAGGGGAGACCTGAGAGCAGCTCCAGTGCCTAAAGCGGCTGCAGGAAACCTGGAGAGGGGCTTTGGCCAAGGGCCTGTAGGGACAGGCCAAGGGGAATGGCTTTAACCTGCCAGAGGGGAGACTGAGATGAGCTCTTAGGAAGAAACCTTTGCTTTGATGGTTTTATCATGGAAAATTTCTTGATACATGCGCTTTATCCACCTGGTGTTAATTGTATCAAGGGATCAGTCCTGCTGTCCTTCCATAGAAAGTCTTTCTAGTGAAATCATTTCAGCATTTGGGCTTTAATACTGTCCCTGTCTGTTGGAGTTGTTGATCAGCATGTCTGTCACCCAGCAAATCTGGTCAAAATAGTCCTCTTTTATGTAAATTCCATGAGAGATGTGATACTGCCACTGAAGTAGCGTCCACTAACATGATGCCTGTTGCTTTTCCTCCTGCATTTAGCCAGCAGTCCGGATGCTGTGCATGTTGTACTGGACAGGCACCTGGTGACAGGACAGAACGAGAATTCCACTCTTCCTGCAGTCCAGAATCTTCTCATCCTTTGCAATGTCAGGTGAGACCATGGGAGATAAGAACTAGGGACAGGTAGTGGTGAGCAGCTTTAGTGTCAGGAATATTGCCCCAAGAGGTTTTTTTCCCTCTTGGTTAACTGCTGAAGTGTCATCTGTGTTTTGAGGCAGCTTTTCAGGTTGTTATGTCTTTTGGTAAACAGCATTTGTGGTTCTTAAAAGGTAAAATTGGTTGGGAAATGCACAGCTGTGTATCAGGACTGGTAAAATAAAATGCAGAATAGGCCCTACTAAATGTTTCAGCTACAATAAACATCCCTTGTGTGTCGTTTGTTGTGTTTCGGCAAGTTACCTGTTGGTCAGCGATTGTTTCAGGATCTGGGAATGAATGGATTTAACTTTGGTGGTGGCTTGGCTGTTTGACTGTCCTCAGGTAGAAGAACACATATAAATAACCACCCCAATCTTCTTTTGTTCAGGTGAATGTGTGTTAGAAGTCCTTTCCTGGCTGTGGACTAACAGCTCGTGTCATGTTTGGATGTGTTTCCTTCAGCAGGAAATGAAGGAGCAGGTCTCTTTGCATAGGATGGATGAAGAGCCAGCAGGTTAAGGAATTCTTTGTCTGTGAACTGGATAAAACATCCCTCTAAATTTGTCCTGGACTGTGGAGTAACAGTGTCAGGCTTTGCGTAGATGGAAAGGATGAAGGTTGTGACTGAGAACGTTGAAGTACGTCACACTCCAGAAGCAGTGATGAAACCATCTTGTGTTTTTGTTGCTGTATCTTTTTGTTCCGCTGCTTCTTTCCAGACCAGAGATTTCCAGATGTGGGAATGTCCTTTTAAAGGAAAGTTGGTGCTATGACTTCAGATTGCTGAAGACCTTACTCTGGGTTGATGTTATACTGGTGGTTAGTAACTGCCCCGAAGAGCACTTGGAACAATGTGAACCATGGGGTGTTTGCGTTTCAAATAGCAAAATCTACACCCAGAGCTTGACTGAAATTCAATTCCAGATGCAGGGAATGAAGGGAACCACCTTTCATTTGGTTACTGTCTGAACTCTGCATGTGTTGGGCACTTGGATGTGCTTGGAATAGGATGGAAAATGCTCCACTGCTCTCTGAATAAAGCTGAAGAGGTTGTTTGCAGCAGCGCACGCAGTGGCGATGCTGTTTGCATAATGAGCCCTTGTTTCCTTTGCCAGTTTATGTTGTTGGATTTGTGTTTGAAAAGTGTGCTCAGCTGATTTTCAAATGGTCTTCTGATGGCTGTTTCTTCTTTGTGGTGCTTACGTTACGGTGTTTGTTCTCTTGAAATCCTTCTCTTTGGCACGTACATTGCAGTTGTCTCTTGCTAGAATGTTCTGAACAAAGGAATTAAATATGTAGGCAGCTCATTTGGATCGTGTCTTCTGAGGACCCAACTGTAAGATGAGATCTGGCCTTCTCTTTCCTTTTGAGCTGCAATGGGGCCTGAAGTTGAGCCTGAAATAACCAGCCCAAGAATAGTTTTGGTTGTTACAGGCTCAAACATACTAAATCCATGGGGAAGTGGGCAGGTGGATGGTTTCCTTCCCTCTTGGAACTGAGGGCAACTTTCTGCAGTGCTCTGAGGGAAAGGACCTTTGTGGTTGCATTAGTTTTTGTCTCAACAGGACAATGGGATGTATTGGCTATAACCAGACATCAATCAGGGTCATTTTATGTCTTTTCTCTTAAAAATTCATTTCTTCTAGTTCTGTCTCAAGAAATCAGAGTGATTTTAAAAGATAATTCACTGTGGGGTTTGTTGGGTCTTCTACTGTTGTATTCTGAGTCCAGCTTATGGATTTTGGGCTTTGATAGAAAGCAGCATTAGAATTTGAAATGAAAATTGGGCTTTGATAGAAATTAAATAACTTTGCTAGCTTAAATCCTCATTCCTGACAAGACTTTCTAGGGATTTGTTGACCTTTGCCATCAGGACATACTTTTCATCTGGGTTCCTGGTGCCTACTGAAATATGGGAAGTCATTGTGTTTCTACTGCAATAGTATTAGGGATTGGGGTCATTTTGTGTTGAACCTGCAGCAAGGAGACACTCTGCCACCCGAAGCTTTATTTCATTAGGGAAGGTGAAATTCCCTGCTCTAGGCTCCAGTGGCTGCCTGAGCAGGGAACTCAGCAGGGCTGGAGTTGGGTGATAGGGGCCCTGGAGGAGATGGGTGCAGCCTCTGTGGCTCTGAGGTGAAGGAGCTTTTGCCACAGCTGCAAAGCCAAGTCTTGTTTCTGGAGTGGGAAGCTGAGGGGCTACAAGGCTGGATTACCTCAGACTGTGCTTGTGTGTGACTGTCCATCTCCAGACCTTCCCTTGCCTGCCTGTAACATAGAGTATTGATGTCTGCCCTGAGTCCTGTTTTCATTCCTTCACGAGGACCTTCTGTCCAGGCTCATCAATAAGCTGCCAGGTGAACAAGCACTAACTGGACCTCTCCAGCCTGTGATCAATTCTCCTTTGTACTATTTTGCCTTATGTGGCAGTCAGGACTTGTTGGAGCTGCTGTTTGTGCCTCTGTTGGGAAGTACACCGAGGTAAGAAGTTCTCTGCCTGTAGATTTTTGTAACACTTCCTCCTCTTTCCCATACGGGGGCAGATAAAGAGGAGTTCCTGTGTGTATCTTCCTTCTTTGTCATCACACATCCGTTTCTCTCTCCTCGTAATCTCAACTGGCCCCAGTGTTGGGGCTGCTCATGCAAAACAGAGGGAGAATTGCAGGATCCAGTGGCTGGAGAGGTGATGTGTGCAAGTGTTTGTGTCTCCAGCTTTCTGATGGGGTTGAGAAGGATGCTGGCTGGCTGGATGCGGTCCAGCTTCTAGCAACAAAAACAAAATGACTGGTAATGCAGCTCTCATGTGAATTTGTAGCATCTTTAGAAATGACACTGACAAGTGGTGATTAATGATGATGGCTCTTAAAAGCTCTTGTACACTGTGACCAATTTTAGCCAAGGATTGGAGAAAATAAATCTATAAGTGGGAAAAGATCAAATTAAAGTAGAAACCACATGAAGATGTTTGATGTCAGATGCATTCAGGAAGGTTTCATTCTGTTTATTCTGGAGGGTTTTATGTCAGTGGCTTAAAATATGAAGGCAGCATCCATCATTTTGGCTCACTGTTCGACTTCTTTACTATGTCCATACAGGATTAATTGCACTTAGGAATGATACATAGAGTTTAGTTAGGTCTATAGAGTTAAACCATTCAAGTTCTTGTTTAGTTCTCCAGTCTGGAAGAGGTTTCCATGCAGCAGGAAACCTCTTTGCAACCACACATCAGGCTATTTCTGTAACTCCTATTTAAAGCGTTGAAGTCTGGGTTTCAAAGGCCACAGCACATGCATAGCTTGGGGTGCTGGAGCATCCATCCCTCCTTTAGTTCCATGTTCATTCTGTTCCTCAAATGTAACACTTGGAGTCTTTTGTTACTTTATCTTTTGCTTCAAGTTATCTACATCAACTAAAACCATGAAGTGATGTTACAGAATGAATAAGGATTTTTGGGTATCTTGCAGCTGAAACTTCCTGTGTGAAGAGTTTGAATACCTCAGCCTGTATCTTCAGTACTGTGCGCGCTGAGCTTCCTTCCTGGTCAAACTGAGAAACCAGACTGAAGCATCACACCCTGGGCAGCTGAGCATGTTTGGGTTTTAGCACTTGGTTTCAAATGTTATGCCTTAAAATGGTTTGTGTTCTCTCTGGTTAGGAGAGTTAGCTCAAACTGCTCACGTTAAAAGGCTTTTCTGACCTGATTATATCTAATGAGACTGTAAAATAACAGCAGCTGGGTTTGGGGGCATTGGCTTAGATGAGGAATGTTGCTTCTTGTTGCCTTGTGTCTGTTGACCTTTATCAGTGCCTTAGCTTGTGGTTGCAGTTGGTGGTGGTGCTGCTTTACCGCCATGTGTGCTAATCTTTAGCTGAAAGTTAAACTGAATGTTAAGTCAGGGTTTATGCCCCATCTAGTGCTGTGGGTTAGAAATGCGGTGTAACCGACTTGTGACTGCTGAGGAAATGGGTGTCGTAGAATCATGGAATGGTTTGGGTTGGAAGGGACCCTAAAGCTCCTCCAGCTCCAACCCCAACCCCTTCCACTGGAGCAGCTTGCTCCAAGCCCCTGTGTCTAACCTGGCCTTGAGCACTGCCAGGGATGGGGCAGCCACAGCTTCTCTGGGCACCCTGTGCCAGCGCCTCAGCACCCTCCCAGGGAAGAGCTTCTGCCTAAGAGCTCATCTTAGCCTCTCCTCGGGCAGGTTCAAGCCATTCCCCTTGGCCTGTCCCTACAGGCCCTTGCCCAAAGCCCCACTCCAGGTTTCCTGTAGGCTCAGAACATGCTGGCTCTTGACGTACTCACTTAGCAGATGATGTGCATTGGTTTTCCCCTCTGCCTGGCTTGAGTGTAGCAACTGGAACAGCCCCAGGGAGGACAAGCTGCTGGTGGTGCTTGCAAATGCTCAGTGTTCCACTGCCTCTGTGATCAGCTGCTTACAGAGGACTCTGGCATTTCGGCCACATGACAGGCCCTTTTGTCCCAGAGCCAGAACCTGCTTCTCAAACAGATGGAAAGCTTCAAATTCTGGAGATTTTCAACCCACACAAACCCTGATTGTTTCAGTGCTGTGCTCTGGGGTGTTTGGTGCTCTGGTCCCATGGATGGATGTTAGCAGCCAGGCTGATTTCCTTAGAAATCTCTTGCTGGAAACATCAGCTGCTGATTTGTTTAAGGAACCACACACACAGGGTTACATCTTGTCTGGGCTTGATTCATGGGAGCATGTTCTATGTTTTCCTGTTATGGGCAGATATTGAAGTGTCTGCTGGAAGCACCAAAGTATGATGCTGTATCATGTGATACATGGAGCAGAAACGTTTGTGGGATGAATCCAAAGGGACAAGGGGCTTTCTCACATGAATTATCCATAGGATAATCTTTACAGCTCACAGCTGTAAAGAAACATTCCTGTATTGCACCCCCATAAAGGATTTCTTCACCAAGAAATGTGATCTCAATTTTGATGCTTACATTAAGTCCAGTTTTGCCTCTAACAATAATGAAAAGGTCTTTGTAGTTTGACCAACCTGATCTTTACAGGGCAAAAAGAGATTGAGTGACATGAGAGGTGATGAGGAAGGGCCAAATCCCCAGCAGCTTAGGCTTTGATCATGAGTGCAAGATCTGGTCTGATCCGTGGCTCTCCTATAGCTTGATGCTGTAGCTGCCATCAGCAGAGGTAGCTTGGATCCTCTGAAGCCAGAGGTGTCAGACAGCTTGGGCAGACTTCTGAGGAGAGGAAGTGTTGTCTCTTTAGAGCACTTGACAAAGCATTTGCTTGTTTTAGGGGATCCCTTACAGGATGTTTGAACTCTGTCCTCCTTGCTGTCTGCAGTGAAGGGTTGTGGGTCATGGTACATTCCATGGGTGGATTAAAATGCTTAAATAAATTCTTTTCGTGCAGCTCCCACAGGATAATCTTATAAAAACAAGGAGGAAAAATGTGAACCTTCTGCTTTCCTCACCTTAGGTACTGTGTGATGAGCTCTGCTCTTTGATCCTGGGTACCAGGGTGCTTTTGTGTGTTGCTGATGGAACAGCCCTTTTGGCTTTGTAGTGTTCTCCACTGCCCTTAGTGTGGTGGTCTGCCAGTTCTGAGCTCCCTTGCAAGCGCTCACAGCCGCAGCTGTGACACTTAACTGAGGATCACTGGGCTGTGCTTGTGTGCTGGTGCTGAACAACAGCAATGAGCCAGA